TTCTAGAAAGAAAAAAAAGGTTAATTTAGGTTTATTTTGATTTTTTTTTTGGGGGTGGTTACGAGGTCACTTGAATTGACCGGTTCCGTTTTGAGATTAGGGTAGAGAAAATAACATACAAACTATAAGAAGTTAGTGAAAAAAAAAGTCTGAAATTCATTTAGGAGGTTTTAGGGATTACACAAAGGAAATTTGAGATTTTTGAGATTGCAAAAAGTATTTTTAACTTTAACATGAAAATTACTTTGCACACGGATTATTCAAAACAAATACTCAATATATTAATGGACAAAACTATTTTATTTTAGTAAAAGTACTTCATTAAGAAATATGACTTTTTGTATGTGAAAGACTTGTAATATTAACTGAAAGACTGCCAAATTTTGTGAAGATATACCCAATATATAGAGAGTTAAGTATTAAATTTATGTCAACTTTAAATGAATACAGAAGGTCACGTGACTCGGTCCCAGGGACTGAGACCATGTTGAAAGAGTCAATTTGCTATTTAGGGTTGAGTAGAGAAAATTACAGATAAAATATAGTTTAATGAAAAAACAACAACTTCATATTCATTAGGAGGTTTCAGAGATCTGGAAATTAAGTATGAAATAAGTAAAATAAAAAAGTATTTTCATTCTTAAAATGGAGTACATTCAGACAAATCTTTAGTAAAAATACATTAAAAATTCAGATTTTTGTGTACAACATACTAGTAATGTTAACTAAAGGTTTACCAAATTTCATGAAAATACAAGTACTAAATTTGGAATTATAGCAGGGCTTGATTTTTAGGTTGTCAAAAAAAAATAAAAAAAAGAAGAAAAAAAAAGATCCAATTTCAACAATATTGGTGTACAAGGACCCTACAAGAGACCCAATTACCAGGATTTTGGTGTTTTTGTTTCTTATTTCCAAACAGTACAATCTTTGACTTTTTAATGCCCTATTTCCTGGAAATTTTCATTACATTGGAAAAAATAAGCCCAGACCATGCTTATATTACAAAGTATCTTAAGGAAACAAACAATCAATGACCTGTAAAACTTTTAAAAAGAACAGAAATCTTGGCCAATCACATTCAATGTTTTCATTCTAATCAGCTTGGCTTGCCCACCAAGTACAACCAGTAATAAGACTAGACTTTTATTCAAACTCTTATACATACTACCATAATACATACACAATGCCTGAGCACTGCACATGTACACACACATACCACTGATATGTATTGTTGTCCATACCCATAGTTTGTATTGACCTGGAGATGGGCAAAGCTAGCATTATTTGATTTATTGTTATTCTGTTTCATTCTGAGAAAACTTTCATAAAAATTCTGTTTGCAGATATCATTATTACATTCTGTTTAATTCATGGATTTTCCCACTTTTTTCATGGTAGCTACACATTCCGCATTTCCTAGACTCAATTAGTGTGTGTGTGTGCTCGGGGTGGGGTGGGGGTAGGAACAGTGTTTCAACTGTGATGATTTACGAAGAAAACTCCAAGTTTGACTTTGTAAATTTGATTGTTTTAGTTTATCAGTAAGAAGTTGAGACAACCATGTTATTTCTATTGTTATTAGCATCTATACTAGAAATTAATCTCACTAGATATTTGTGTAATTGGCATTAGTTTTCATTGCAAATTCCCATCTGTCCGTATGTATGTATACACTGTACTGTGTTACCACACATAGCTATTCACATTCAGTTGAACTCCATACAAAATTTATGTGCACAGCTTCTCCACAATAGCAAGTTTAATGACTAAACGATATTTTTGTGGGGGTTCAAATCTGAGTTCTTAGTTAGGTAATTTCCCGATGATTTTGGTCGAGGATCAAAGTCAACATTATGTGTGTAGTTTTGGCATAGATAAGTGTACAGTAGACTGAGTAAGGGTCTGTTCCAGGGTACTAGTCAGACAACACAGGGGTTTAAGTTGGTTGTCTGAGGAAGTTTACAGTCATCTCGATCGATCAGACGACCATTAAAATCAAGCCCTATTATAGTAAATATTTTTACAAAACAAGCTTGTTTCAACTGGACCAATCCCATACATGTTAGGTTAATGACTAATAATCTTCAGCACTGGTAGGCATGCAAGAAACATGAGAACCATGGCAAATAGAGGTTTTCTTATCCTGCTAAGGAGACACTGAAGTGCTATGTGTACTCTTAAAAACATGCACAGATAAATTTTGTTGGGGAAATAGAACTTATGGCAATTCATGAAATTTTGTCCTATTTTACCAGCTTGATATTGTGTATGCTATATTTATTCTACAATTCTTATATTTGTAAATTTTGACATGTAGTGAAATATATAAAATAATATTGGATATTAAATTTGCTTTCTTTCAAGGTTCTGAACAAGAATGTCCCAAACATCATTACTTCTTCCACTTCTCAAAATATTTGTTTGCAAAAGATACAAGAAACAGACAAACTAAAGTACATAATTATTTTCAGTACTTACGCCATGTTGGAGAAGACATGTAGTACGTCTTAAATTTTGCACAGTTTATTAGAAACTCTGCTCCAACTCTTAATGAACCTGTTCCACTCAAGCACTGTACTCCAAAACCCTAGAGAAAGTTATGTTATAATGTATCATTTCTGTAATGAATTATGACCATTAGCTGATTTTTTCTTGCATATTTGTTCACTACTATTGTTATTCAGCAATGCTTTATAATTATTTTATTTTACTTTAAATCATAAATCCTAGAGTAATAAATAACATGAAGCACAGAATATAGCTTTCAATTTTGTAGGATTAAATCTTTTTTCTTTCCAAACATCTAAACTAACATGAAACAATTTTTCATACATAGTAACAATAAAAAGGTGCTGTAACGGTACTTGGTTGTACAAGTTGAGTTTTTAGCTTTATGAGTAATAACATTAAACAAACGAGGATTCTGAATGGTAGAAACACTAAAGTTGTTAGCTTCATCAGAAAAACATCCAAAACCTCTTGAAACCTACAGTAATTTACAATAAAAATAAAAAAAAACAACTAACTTCTCATGTATTAGAAATATTTACAAAAATCCATTTCATAGTGCTCTTTATACATTTTGTTTTATAAACAATAGAGCAATTCAAAATTTTTTTTATTTTGAAGGGAAAGTTTGTCAGACAACCTGTTTGATAAATGTGGATTCATATTTAATAACACAAATAGCCGACACTAAAATAAAAATAAACAGTTGCCTAAACATCTAACATTAAGGATTAGTGTTGACTGAGTTAGTATTAATCTCCAGCTGTTGCCCTGTTGATTAGAACTAAAGCTTTTAGGATAGGAAACAATGTTTACTAATAATGAATTACTCTACTGAAAATATACGTGCATTATGTTATATTAATTTTGTAGATTCAGGCCATACCATTTAAAAAAACAAAAAATAATATAATCTTTTTAAATAATCTTGTATTCCATTTTATTCATTAGAGTAAAGTAAATATGTTATAATAAAGTTAATGATCAACAAGATAACATTAAAAATAACCCACATATAGTCAAGACTGTGATAAAAACAATTTTTACAATCTTACACGCCCTTCTGTAAGTGCTGGGCTATCATTTCCTAAAAGCATTTTTGTAGCAGATTTGGAAAATTCTTCATATCCCAGCTGCGACAGGTATTCATGATTCAGTGTAACATCAGTAGCAATTTGCTGTTCAACTTTTCTTACTACTGGTAACACCCAAGGCTTTCCCTCATTAGTTCTGTAGGCTGCAAATAAAAAAAAAAGTTTTAAAATCTTAAGATGATAAAAAAAAGGACATTCAACAGACACTTGATATGCAAAATGCTCACACCCTGAAATTTTATAATCACAAATTTCTGTAGAACACCTTACTGTAGACAAATCACAAAATCTCATTTGATTGCTACCTGAACATTGTACAAAAACTCTAGAAGCTTCAGAATGCAAGAAAGGAAGAAGCCCAATTTAGATTTTAAAAACACGCGTACACACCCACACACCTATACATTATTATTCTTCCATTATCAGTCCTGATTGTTAAAGTCATAAAGGATATAATGTCTGTGGTCATAGCACAATGCATTGGGGGATATTCCATCTATCAGACACAATCTATACACTTATGTTAAACAAACCAGCAGTTATTAAAAATCAGTTAAGAATCAGAAGTTGAGTGCTTACACCCACAACATCTCGACTCGTACTGCTTTTCGTTGTCTGCAGCCAGTTGTAGGAAGACAGTTATCCTTAATACTCAGACATAAACTTAAAGTAGAAATAATACCACCCTAAAGATTCTACAAGGTAAAACTCCCAACCTCCACCCTTTTATTTACAAAATGATGTTAAACCACACACATAGTTCTTAAAACTCCCAACCTCCTCCCTTTTTCTTGAAGATCTGGTCAAGTATAACCCAGCTGAAATGAAACAAGCCCAGCTACCTGAAGTCTTTCTGACCCAGTATACTGAATACAAGTAAAAAAAAATATTTTTTGAAGTTAGTTACTTATAAGCCAAAGACAACCTTGAGTAACTAATGACCTCCAAGTTCTTCACAAGGTAGTTTCCATAATCAAGAATTTTTTTTTTAATAATTTCACAATTATTATAAAAAACGTGTACAAATTTTTTTGTATATGCCAATCCTTATAACAAAACAACCCTACTCTAAACC